AAAGAATTCTTACAAGTTAAGAAGATAATTGATTAAAAATGGGCAAAAGATTTGAACAGATACTTTACAAAAGAATATGTATAAATGGCAAATAAGCATGGAAAGATGCTCAATATCATTAGTAATTTTGGAAATGCAAGATAACACCACCTATTAGAATGACTGACATGATAATACCAAGTGTTGGTGAGGATTTGGAGCAACTGCAACACATACATTGCTAGTGGGACTGTAAAATGATAGAACCACTTGAGAAAAGAGTTTGGAGGTTTCTTAGAAAGTTAAACTTATGCTTATATATGATCACCTAGTAATTCTACTCTTGGTATTTACCCAAAAGAAATGAAGATATATGTACACATGAGGTTTGTACACAAATGTTTGTAGCAGCTGTATCTGTAATACACCAAAACAAGAGAACAACATGGATACCCATTAACAATGATGGATAAACAAATTGTGAAACAGTCATACAACGAAATATTACTCAGTGATAAAAAGGAATGGACTACTAATCACACAACAACATGGATGAGTCTCAAAACATCATGCTGAGCAAAAAAAGCCAGAAACCAAAGAATACATATGTATGAATCCATTTACATGAAACTCTAGAAAAGACCAATCTAATCTTAGGGACAGAAGCAGATCAGCGGTTGTCTGAGTGAATGTGTATATGGAGATTGAATGGGAAGGGGCGTAAAGGGAATTGTTTCAGGTGAAGTAAATGTTCTGTACCATGACTGTGGTGGTGGTGATGTGGGTATATACATTTGTCAAACCTTATAGAATTGTATACTTAAAATGTATACATTTTATTTTACATAAATTATACCTTAATAAAATTGATTTACATGAAAAACAATTGAGCTGAAGCATTTACATTTTTTTCCTCTCAAAATAGCCTTCCCTTTTGGACTTCTACAGGCGACTCCACAAATCAACTTAGTGGGTAAAATAGCTGTGTGACACTGAACAAGTAAGTTATTACTCTGAACTGAGCAAGTTTCCTCATCAGTAAAATGAGTGAATTAGATTAGATGACTTCATTCGTTCATTCTATAAACATTAAAAGCCCACTATGGGGCAAGCACTATGCCAGGTTCTAGAGATATAAAGCTGAAAAAGAAACCATGTTTGCCCTTAAGGAGTCAGTCTAGTGGAAGAGAAAGAGAAGCTACCACATGATTATGATATAGCTCTTGTATATTTAGGGTATGAGGAGAATCCATAAAAGCAGCAGTCTTCCCTGATGATACAACACCTGAGTTGGGTTTTGAGGTACAAGTAAGAGTTAGGTAAAGAGAGAAGAGAAGGCATTCCAAGCAGAGGGTGCTGTATGGGCAAAGGGCCAAAGGAGAGAGACATACCATATGTTCAAGGTACTTCAGGTAGCTTAGTAGATCTGGAACAGAGAATTCATCCTTGTAAGGTTATGGTGTGTCTTGATTGAAAGATAAAAAGGATTCCTCTAGTCTAACCAGTGTGTAGACAGGGTCCTGTACCAAATAATGATACCTATGTTGTAGTGGATCACGTAAAAGGTAAAATAACTGTACCTTCAGTTAGGGTCCTTTCTGTCGCAAAGAGGATCTTTTGGCTCATGTAACAAAACAGTCCAGGGGTAGAGTGTGACCTGGGGATCAACAAGGTCAACAGAACAGCTTTTCACTCTTTCCATTCCTAGGCTACAGCAGCTCCAGACCCCATATCCTCTCCTTTTCATATGAAAAGATTAAACCAAAGCCTCGTAATCAAGTTTCATTGGTCCTCACTGGTCTTAGATTTTGCACTGATCCTGAAGCAATCTCTGTGACCAGAGGAATGGTACATGGTGACTGGCTTGTCCGGAACCCAGAGATCCTGGAGGTGGGAGTCAGCTTCATCTGAAACACATGCAGGAGGGGATAGATCTCCAAAAAAAATTAGAGCCTTTGCAGAAGAAAGGAGACTGGATACTGAGGAGGAATTATGTTTTAAGAAAAACAGATCCCAATAATTTTCAGATCAAGTCAGGGGATACCAACATACACAGACGAATTTCTTCTTTCATCTTCCATACCTAGGACTAGTCAATGAAAACTGACTTCAGAATAAAGTGATGTGAGAATCAACACATATACAAAAAACTACCACTCAATATTCTAAGCAGCATATTAGTGGATGAAGAGTTTCACGAGAACAAAGAGAAGGGCATAATTAATTCTAATTTACAGTCTCCGAGGTATCTTCACAATAAAGGAGTTTTTTTATTGAGGCCTTGAAAAACAGACGTCCTTCTGACAAAGCCCAGGGCCACAGCTGGTTGAGGATCAGCATGCACTCTGGTGAGGCTGAAGTATAAGACAATGGATCAGTGTTGGAGCACAGGAACGGAAAGACCAAGCTGTGGAGAATTTTCCCCACTATGCTGCAGAGCTTGGACTTTATCCTTTAAGCAATAGGGTGTTGTTTAATTTTTTAAGCATGGAAGTGACACAATCAAATCTATATTTAGAGAGCTGTAGGAATAGATTAGATATTACTTGAGACAAGGAAGGAGATAAGTATGGGATAAAGCTAAGTTTTGAAGTGGAAGCCTGAGGGAGTTCAAGCCTAACAGTCTCTATTTTCCCTGTGAACTAGGAAGAGAGAGTACATGCTGAGTAAGGTGGTGCTATGCAGTCAAGACAAGCTGGAAATTTCAATTAGTCAGAACAGTGTATTACCAAAGCATTCTGATCAAGAAGAAGATTGTTCAACAAACTCTTTCATAATATAAGGTCATATTACATCAGTGCGTGAATTGAAATCCAGAAGAGTCAAATACAATTTGTCTATGAGGCTATTTGACCATCAGCGTGAATGCCATAGGTAGAACAACTATGGAATTATTTCTGGTCACTTAGATCCTTGTGACCACTGGCAGAAGCAGATGTGACGGCATGTCAGGGTTTGGTAGGAGATGGCGAGGAAGAATGCAGGAGGAAGGAAGCCAAGAGAGGTAGTGTGAGGAGGTGCAGTTTGAGATGGAGTGGGCAAGACAGCCTGACTGCCCTGGAGGCAGCATTTTAACAAGCAGCCAAGAGCAGCACATGGCTGAGAGGGGTTTGTGACAGCAGCAAAATCTGTGGCAGCCCACGAGGTTTGGCTTTGAGATTCAGAACTACTGGCTAGAGCCACTTGTTCCAAATGAAAGGATCTGCTATGCCATGGTCCATTCATTTTTTATAGACACAGACTCAAATGATCAAATAAAGTTATACAAATGCTAATGAAGCCGGGCATTCTTCATATATTACCTTCTACCACTTGACCTTAAAATATCATATTTAAAATTAATTACCAACAACATCTTATATTTGCTTGGTGCTTTGCAGTTTAAAAAAATCACTCTCAAATATATTTTCTCATTTGGTCCTACTCAACCCTGTAAGGTAAACAGAGCAAATACAATAATTTCCTGCTGCCTGTCCTCCTCATCTTCCCCCACCTGCCAAATTACAGGTAAGAGAGCTTAAATTATCTAGGGACTTTTAGCTAGGACTGGAACTCTTCAGTCTAGAGTTTTTTCTGCTAGACCACAACATTGCTGCTTTTAAAAAGGCTTATGAATATTCTCCTCAACAAAGAAGCCAAAGATTGGCGTACCTGTACACATTTGATCTTAATCATTTAAAATTTTCTCTCTTCCTAACATTTTCTCAGAGTGAGGGAAGGAGAGAAATAATAGTCATAGGTGTGTGTTTATCCTCGGGATGAATGTGCATTTGTACACACAGAATGGCAAAGCATATGATTATAAGTGTATCACCTCAAAAGCAATACAATGGGGTTTATTAAGAATCAATCACTGAATAAATTATTATTGAGTTCTCAATAAGTCAACAAGTACCTGCTGAATAAAAGCACATATTATAGATTTTCAAATTAATAACTAGTTACATCCAACTCTACCAGAGTTGCAGTCTTGTGCTAAATCTCATATATTTCCTAATATATACTCTATAAATAAAAGACTCAGGAAATACATTTGGATAAAAGTTAATACAATTCTAGGCATTCAGTAAGAGTATCAATCCATTAATTTAGAGTTTTGTTGAAATGATCAGCATCTTGAATTTGAGTCTAAATTTGAAAGACCATAATTTTTGGACTTCTTTTCACATACTATTATTCCATATTACATAAGTGATAGGTCTTTAGGAAGTAATATAAAATAAGGTTTTACAAAAAGGACCAAAATAAGATTGATGTCTTGCATAATGTTTTCAGTTCTAGAATGAATGTATAGTACCTACTTCTAGTCTCTCAGCTGCTCTGCCCTAGAAGTAAGTCTCGTTAAACCAAGCTTCAGCAAAAGTGGATATGGTTTTGATTTTCCATTCCCTTCACTGAATCATTGGGTATCCTCTTTGTATACTTCCAAAGTAACAGAATCTGTCAACAGGCCTCAGCAGAGTCAAGTCTTCTAACCAAGAGATGGAAAGATGAGAAGTTTGAAGGGATCACTCCGTAATTTTCTGACTTTTTTCAGAAAGTGAGGAATAAAATACTGTCAGATGGAGACAATTGTAATTGACCTTCCCCAGTAGAGACCTTTAAGGGAGAAATAAATTGGAGAGGGCTCTAGAAGACCTCTGGTGAGGGAAAAGTTAAAAACACTGAAGTACATTCGAATTTGTACTTAAAAGCCTTATCTTTTTCAAGTCTTCCCACATCCTACCCTACCCAGGCTCTGAGCGAAGAGCAACTTATAAGACAAGACGATATATTATCTGGAGATAAATTTACAAACTGACATAAGAGAATTGTCCCAGAGGTGACATTACCTCTTCAAGTTTATTACAGTATCTTTAGTTCTTATTGCATATATTGTTACATGCCTTTTACAAGTCAGGATTACATACAAAGTATGCTCGATTTTGCAGAAGTTACGTCTATTGCTTCTCTCAAAATTCAGCAGCATGCAGTGCAATATTTGGTGTGCAGAGTTATTGTTTCAAAAAGTGAAAAACTACTTAGGTTTAACTGAGGAAGGAACATGATCTTTATTGGCTTATATGCAAAGTTTAATTTTGGTTTTATGCAGAGTTTGCATAGTTCATGATTAGTTTCTAATGAAAAAACTAGATGTGTTGTCAATGACCTTGAAGAAGATCAGGTGACAGTAGCAAATAGAAAAATCTGAAGAAGAGGCATAACTTTTAAAGTAGAAAGGTCAGCAAGAACTGCCTGAAAAAAAAAAAAAAAGAATTATTAATATCAGTATTCTAATCAGCAAAGTGAAGCCTATGAAATAAGGTACAATAGAAACACCATTACAATGTAATTCTGGCATCAACACACACTCTAAGTTCTTCTGATTTGTCCTAAATTTCTGTACTGAAGCTACAACTTTCCTTCTCATTTCTGAATATCTTAATATTAGAACATGTGCAAAATGCTAAAATGTGCAGTAGAAAATAACCTGGACTTTAGCCTTGAGCCTTCTTCAAATATACAAGGTAGCATGAGTTTATAAGAGGTCTAACATTTCAACTTGCTTCTATAAATAAACGTACATTATGAATCTTAGTCCTGTTGTACTAGTATAAGGAGTAACTGACTTCAGGAAATCATTTTGAGATGGAACTAATGTTTCTTCAGTTGCAAAAGGCATAAACATCCTCTTCCCTTTAAACAAAGAATGTAGGCAGCTATTTTAGGGATAAAATTTACATTTCTATGAGAGATAACAAATTGAGTAATATGCTAAGCCACTATTTAACTGAACCAAGTTTCAGGTATAAATTATACTATTGAAAAGAAACCAGCTCTAAATAATTAACTCACAATTAAAATAACCAAAGAAGCCTATGTATCTTTACTATATCATTCAAACACATGCATCTTTAACTCTCTCAACTAGTTTTTCTTTGTTCTATGAGCGTAGCACATGGGCATGAACAATAATAAGAAAATGCAACATAAGCCCCAATAGTTTCAATTAAAATTACTAGGCATCCTGTTTCCCATAATGGTTATAATGGTTTCCTATAATAATCTTGTTTATGACTCCTTTACAAGAAGATTGTTTTCAAGTAATAAAGAAATTTTGAATACTTAACATTACTTAGCTCGGAACTTACAGGTTTTACCCAAGCTAAAAAATTAGGCTAGGAGTAATGTGTGTCCTATGCATCTGAGACTAAAGTGCCTGAGCCTGGCAGTCTCTCAGGAACTATTTCCATCCCATCTGAGTGAAACTTATCCTTACTTCAGCTGCAGCCAGTGATGTCACCTCCATCAGGTTCACTGCTCGGAAAGCAAACACAGCAGCTGCCAGGACTGGAAAAGAATGCACAGTATTTCAACTGACAGCCTACTCGTCAGCCTGACAACTTTACTGCTATGCCCACAACCCACTATGAGAGCCCAGAACTAGTGCTTTCCATGACTTCATGCCTGCATTCTGAGTTAAGGTCCTGTGATGAAGGGAAATAGTCTTCTCTGGAGAATAGTGCCTGATGCCCAGATAAACAGAACCCACAGTTTTTGGAAAAAGGAAATTCATTGGTCTTAAAAAAGCCATTTTATAAATTGTTTCTTTAATATCTACAAATTAAATTACAATGGTTTTTAAATGGCATGAAGATCTAATGACTGTCGTATAAATTAAAGTCAATTTTGATGCAGGTGTTTTTTACTAATGCAATAGAGAAGCTTCTGAAAAGTTATACAGAGACTGAATATTTAAATATATCAGATCATATTTCATATGTATCAAGGAGTTATCCTGATAGAAATGTGGCAATAAAGGCTTTTCTTAACATTTTTTACAATATTGTTATACTTATATTTTTGTATTCAGCACTGACTTTCTTAGAGTGTCATAAATGGATATGTCTGGGGGGAAAGCTGCTGTGGGACTGATCCTGACATTGACATTAATGTTGGCTACAGGAAAAAGAAGTTGAAACTTTGAAGAAAAATCAAGCAAACCATTATAGGACATCTTGAAGGTCAATCACATACATTGAGTAGAAAACGACATTTGGATTTTTGTTTCCATTAATCATACGTATATAACTTCTTGTTATATAATTTACCATAAAACCTCATGTGAGGGAATGAGTCATGAACAACAGAAGGACCCATGTAAGAAGCAGGCAATCCTGATAAGGAAACGGACGGTACTGCCTGGAGGTGACTCGACTTCTCTCTTTTTTTCCCATCGCCACTGGTGTCAGTACATTCCCTTCCCAATAAGTCTTTGAGGTTTAGGGAATGAATGGTAAGGAATCTTTAAAATTATTTGGAAGATTGGTTCTTAATTATACTGCATAGCTAATGCAAATATATATATATATTTTTAAATACATTTTTAATATGGGAATAATAATAATAATGATACTAGCAGTTAATTCTCATACCAACTCTAAGAGTTAAGTACTCTTATTAGCCCAGTTTTACTAATGTGGAAACTGAGGCACAGTGAGTTTAAATGACATGTTCAGAGTCGCATAGGTAGAAAATAGCACAGTGAAGACTCAACCCTGGCTCTGGAGCCCGAGCATCTAACCACCATGTGATGACATTACTGAGACTGAAGACAAGCAGTAATGACTCATCCCTGACATGGAATTCTGTGGGCTTTCCTAAGAATCATTTTCTCTGCTGTCCCTCAGAATGGTTTTCCAGGGATGGCACGCAGACTGATGCCATGGTGGTCCTGAGCTCTGACAGATATGCAGTTCTGCCTGAAGAGTAGAAGTCCGGATCCAGGCCTCTTAATTACCCCAGATAGAGGCAGAGTGCAACCAGTGACTGGGAAGCTCAGGCATTTTTCTAGGGGACAATAGATTTTGGACAGTTTGGCAAAAAAGCATTAGAACTAGTTAGGAAAATTCTAGGGGGAAAAAGATGGTAGTGGTAAAACAAAAGTTAAAAAGTCAAGTCAGCTGGGATTATTTAATATGTAACAAGGGACATGAGAGATCTGGTACAAAGAATTTATCCTTTAAATGAAAAGGCCAAAACTGAAGCACGTTAAAGTCACTGAGCTTCTATGTTTATAAGAATATTAAAGAAAACGATTTCTGTGGACCAGCAACTTCTTTACAGTTTCCTAATACCTGGAATCATATTTAACAATGGAGACATTCTAGAGGCTAAAGAATATGATCATTACTTCCTTTTTTTGTGTATAATTTAACAGAGTTGGTGAAAGCTTGACAGGATGCTCAAATTTTCTGCTGTAGCAGGAAAGAGTTTTACATGGCGGGAAATTGTTTTTCCAAAGGTAGATAAGAGGGGGAAAAAAGAGCAGTTCATTAATTGACCTCAGCATCCAAAATGCCTATGTGCTCATAACCTTTATTTATCTTGGTGTCACATCACAGAAGTTCCTTTCTGTCTGCTTCATGTTTGGTTTGCCCGGCCCTTCCGCAGAGCAGATTTGTTTGCCAAGGAGAAAAGGTCTATACTTTGGGATATTTTCAATTGAAATCATGCTTCATATGAAATATAGAAACTTTAATATTTACTTTTGGTCTTTTAAACTTCTCATTACTTTAATTCTAGGCAACTCTATCATGAACATTAAGGTACCTTTGCTTTAAACTGTTCTTCAAAAGGCTTTAATTAATTCACAATTAAAGCCAGTAACAGTTATTAAAATATTTCTAAAGACTATATAATAACTCGCTTGAGCAAAAAAGGTGGTCTGAAAATATTCAGACCAAAAAATGTATGAAATAATAGAAACTAATTTGTATATATCCACATGAAATTATCTACCCTGTGGCTCTTTATCTGAATTCCATGGGAGGGGAGCTTCCATCAGTCTAGTTCCATTTCTAGATGTTCTACAATTCTTCCCTCTTGATTTTCGAAAAAAACGCTCAAAGAAAGTAGATGGATGCAACAGTGTGGATTGTATTACTACCTATTCATCAGTAAGGTTTTTCTTTTTTTTGCTGAGGAAGATTTGCCCTGAGCTAACATCCGTGCCAATCTTCCTTTATTTTGTGTGTGAGTCGCTGCCACAACACAGCTGCTGCCGACTGGTGTAGGTCCATGCCTGGGAACCGAACCTGGGCTGCTGAAGTGGAGCACGCCGAACTTAACCACCAGGCCACAGGCCGGCCGCATCAGTAACTTTTTTATTAATGTATTGAGCTCAAAGCAGAGTGCCTGGCTTAGAGTAAATGCAGTATTCAACATTCATTTATTTCTCTTTCACTTCAGTTTGCTGAGGGGTGATAAGTCACAGAATGAAAGAATTTAAATTAGAAGAGGCCATGAAGGTCTTCCAATTCAACATTTCTTGCATAGTAGAAAATCTCTTAACCCTTTAGGTGACAGTTAAAAAGCCCATTCCACTTTTGGAAAGTCCTAATTATTAGAAAGTACTTTCTTACACTGAACCCCTTTCTTTAACGTGCTCTAACATCTTTTTGAAATGATACAAAAAGCTATATACAGTACTCCTTAAAATTTATGACAAACTCAGAGGAGACTTATTTGATGGAAAGTCTAAAGGTCTGTTGCCTAAGAAACAGGAGCAGAAAACAAGGCTACTTAGCCTGGAAAATAGAAGACTTTGGGGGAAAGGAGGGGTTGCAGGAGTAGAAAAAAGTTATGATAACCCTAGTTTAACAGGAGTACACTTTAGCAAGTCGTATTATCCAGAAATGAAATGGGCTACCTGGTAGGACAGGGATTACCCAACACTGAAGTGTTCAAACAGGATGAGGACTGCCTGTCAGAAATATTTAAAAGAAGTTATACCTGATGACCTCTAAGAGGTTCCACCTCTAGATTGTATGTATCACTGCCATTCAGCCAAAAGAGATGAAGGCAGACCGTTCTTTCCTAACTCTTATTTGTATGGGCTTTAAAAACAATTGAGATAGAAGGATACTAGGAATTGTTAAAAACATCAGTAAGTGATATCTTTAATTACACCAAGGGCAACATTTATCTTCATGGCCCTTTATTATTACTCTAATTTTCCTTTTCAAAATGCCACCCAATTACTCTAGACCTCTCAGCATTCAAGAATATGGTAATATGGTACTTAGAGAATCTTCTGCAAGAAAAGGGTCTTCTTCAATTAAGCATTATTTCCACAATTGCCAAGAGAGGTGTCTTTACAGTGTCATCAATATCAGACAAGGAAACAAAGGCTCACACAGGTTAAATAACTTGTTCAATATCACACAACTGGAGATGGTTGGACCCAGCACTCTGCCAACTTTTCTGTTCTCCATCCATTGTTGTGAAAAGCTTGTAATATTTATTTGAATTTCCTAATAATCCCAATGATAAAAATAACTGAGTCTATTTTACACAAGAGAAGCCAAATAATATAATTAATAAGAAATCTTCACCCTATGCGGTATCACACAGTTGCCTTGTGTGTACATCTGTTGTAAGAACTGTTTAATTACGAATGAGAGATGAACCTGTGGCTTCCTGAGAAAAAGATGAAATATTTTTTGGCTCAAGAGAATTCCTAAGAGGGCAAACTCAGCCAGCAGGGCAAGATTCAGAGACTGTTAGCAAAAAGAAAAACCTTTTGAATCCATTATAAACTGAAGTCCAGAAGAGCTGAGATTTCCGCTATGCTGAGGCTCAGTCTCAGTTTGGATTTTAGGTAATAGTTGAGAAGGGCACAGAACAGAACCCTAAGAGAGTCAGAAGAGTCCCGAGTAGAATGGAAGTATATCTACACTCCGCCGCACAGACCTCACGGGTGCCGAGAGATAGTAAGCCCTGGATGAATTAAAAGGCGGGGTCGGGGGGTTGGGAGAAGGAAAAATGGGCTTTTCTGGGAGCCAAGAAGAACGACTAGGAATAGACTGGTGTCAGGACTTTACACAGAAGTATCTACAATGCAAAACCTCAGTACTTGTCTTCCAAGGCAGATAAATCTATTAAATGTTCATGAATTAGACATGACAGATAACTGTAGACTCGAACTCCAAATACAGATGGTGAATATTAGAAAAGAAAGGGGCTTTACTACAGAAACAGCACGTGTTTTATAAACAAGCACTTACTCTTACCAGCAAGAATTTCCAGAGAGTTGTATCCTAGGATTCTATCCCACAAAAGCAAGAGTTGATCTGTAGCTAAGTATCCAGAGAAAGCTCGAACCATCCATTTAAATGATATGCGAAGCCTGTAAGCAAAGAAAAAAGAAAATAAACTTTACCACTGGAATCTTTTCTCACAAAAAGGCAATATCAGAAGAGCCCAACCAATTCTATTGCTAAGGTAACTCCTTTGCGAGTCTTAGAAATCACCAGGGCATTTAAAACTCAGGAACTCTCTTAAAAGCTGCAAAAGTACAATGGTGAGAAACCATGAGTTCTCAAATTAGTGGTCTCAAAGAATTAAGAAGAAGAATTATATCTGCTGGGCTCTCCTTTATGTTGTAGTTCAGCCTTTAGAAAACTCACTTCTACATTCTGTTTTTCAGGCTGTGTACTAATCAGCTACCAATGAAGTGATCTTATAGCCTTAGTAGTTCTAGGCAAGCCATGATCATTCGAATTTTTATTCAAAATACTTGAAAGAGTGCTTGATAGCTGCGTATTTTTCCAATTCAATTAATTATATTTCTACATTTCAGTCAAATGGCTATATAAGATGAATGAAATATAACAAGTAGTAATATAATTATATATTTCTTATAAAGCTATAAGGGACCTTAGAAATAGATTTCTGATTTCACTTTCATTTTCATCTGATTTCTGATTTCAAAACCCTTCATTTTAAAGAGGAGGTTATCAGAACTCTGAAAGGTCAAGCAGAATATTCAACTGAATTCCATTTTGCCAAAAAAAAAAAAAATCCTAAGAGGTATGACATCCCACTATGTATAAGCAGGTTATGTTACAATAACAATTTATCTCTGGAACGAAGAAACAAACTCTTTGGCTTTGGGGCCTCAAGATATAAACTAGTCTCTCACATTTCCATACTATCTATTAGCATCTAAACATCACTTGACTACTCCGAGAGGTGCTTGCCAAACTCTTTGCTGGAACTGTTATAGTGTTACATAGATAAGTATCTGTGCTATTTTCCCTTTATTAAAATTTTTTAATTGAGTTATAGTTGACTTACAACATTATATTAGCTTCAGGTGAACAATATAGTGATTCAATATTTGTATATATTGTAAAATGATCACCACTGTAAGTCTAGTTAACATCCATCACCATAGCTACAGAATTTTTTTTTCTTGTGGTGAGAACTTTTAAGATTTATTCTCTTAGCAACTTTCAAATATGCAATACAGTATTATAAACTATAGTCACCATGCTGTACATTACAGCCTCATGATTTATCTATTTTATAACTGGAAGTTTGTTACCATTTGACTCCCTTCATCCATTTCATTGATTTGACTGGCCTCCCCACCCCCTGCCTCTGGCAATCACCAATCTGTTCTCTGTATCATCTATGAGTTTGATTTTGTTTGCTTTTTTTTAGATTCCACTTATAAGTGAGATCATACAGTATTTGTCCTTCTCTGCCTGACTTAGTCTACTTGGCATAAAATGCCCTGAAGTTCCATCCATGTTGTCACAAGCGGCAAGATTTCATTCTTTTTTATGGCTCAATAATATTCTGGAGGGGGTGTGTGTGTGTGTGTGTGTGTGTGTGCATGTGTATCACATTTTCTTTATCCATTCATCCATCAATGGACACTTAGGTTGTTTCCATATCTTGGCTATTGTAAATAATGCTGCAATGAAAATGAGGGTGCATATATCTTTTTGAGTTAATGTTTTCATTTTTTTTTGGATTAATTTATTTTCTTAAAAGAGAAAAAGGGACCCAGAGATTGCCTTTGCTGGTATCTGTTAATTCTCTTAAAACTGAAAAAGACCCCCAAGTTTCAGAAATTACTCAATACTAGATAACTATTGTTCTAATATAACAAAGTACATATTGGCAGTAGTATTGACAAATTAAGCTTTTTGGTTGGTTTTACAATATCTGTTTGTAGATGCCAAAGAAACTTTTGGCCACTGTATTTTTTAAATTAAAAAAATTCATTGGAATTTTAAATCTAAATTATTAACTACAGTTAATTTCATTTTACTGGATCTCTCATAGAATCTTATTAAAACAATAGTACCACACATTGTGCCCCCCCCATATATAGCACAGAATCAGTTTCTTAGAAATAAAGTTTATTGAGGTGTAATTTATGTATAGTAGAATTTACCCTTATTAATGCACAGTTCTATGAGTTTTGTTAAGAACCAAACAAAAACTTTAGCACTCAAAGATACAATAACAACAAAAAAAACAAAAACAAAACCCTCACTGGATGTATTCAATAGCAAAATGAAAATGACCAAGGAAAGAGCCAGTGAATTTGAATATATATCAATAAAAAGTGCCCAATCTGAACCATAGAGTAAAAAGGATTGAAAATAAAAAGAACAGAGCTTCAGGGACCCGTGAGATAAGACCAAGAATTTTAACATTTGTGTCATTGGAATCCCAGAAGAAAAGGAAAATGAGTGTGGTGCAAAAAAAAAAAAAAAATAATAATAATAATAATAATAACTGAATATAATTATGGTTGAAAATTTCCTAAATTTGGCAAAGACATAAGCCTTACAGATTTAAGAAGCTCAACAAATCCCAAATATAGGATAAACCCAAAGAAATCCATGCCCAGATACACCATAACCAAACTGCTGAGAACTAAAGACAAAGATCTTGACAGTAGCCAGAGAAAAACAAAGATTGATATTATTTGTTCCTGAAATGTTTGGTGGAATTTGCTAGTGAAGCCATCTAGGCTTGGAGTTTATTTGAAGGTAGAATGTGATTAAAGATATATATTGTAAGCCCTAGGTCACTGTTATAGACTGAATTTTTGTGTCTCCCACTCCCTCTCAAATTCATATGTTGAAACTCTACCTCTACCTGCCCCCCCACCGCACTGTGATGGTAACAGCAAAGAGGTGGGGCCTTTGGGAGGTTATTAGAATTAGATGAATTTATGAGGGTGGAGGCCCCATGATTGGGATTAGTGCCCTTATAAGAGTCACAAGAGAGCTTGTTTCTCCTCTCTGCTCTCCACCATGTGAGGATACAATGAGAAGTTGGCAGTCTGCAACGTAGAAAAGGATCCATAATAATTCAATAGTGGAGATAAAATGGAATAAGAAATACTCAATTCAAAAGCAGGCAGGAAATGAGGGAAAAAGGAATAAAGAACACATGGAACAAAAAGAAAATGTCTAGCAAAACAGTAGATAATATCAACTGGTATTACTTTAATCCAATAATATCAATTACATTAAATGTAAATGGAATAAACACACCAATTAAAAGACAAACTACCACACTGGAAGACCCAACTATATTTTTGACAAGAAAGTCACTTGAAAAATAGACATTGATAATCAATATATTAAAAGTAAAAGGATAGAAAAGAATACAGTATGCAAATTGTAATTAAAAGAAAGCTGGAATGACTATATCAGACATAGGAATAAAGGAATAAAGACATTACATAATGATAGATAAATTCTCCTAAAAAGAGAGCTTCAAATACATGAGGTAAAAATATACATAGCAATAAAGGAAGAAATAGACAAATTCACAATATAATTGGAGACTCTAACATTTCTTTCTTAATAATCAAAAGTAGAAAGAAAATTAACAAGTGTATAGAGGGCTTGAAGATTATCAACAAACTTGATTTCATTGCCATTTATAGAACATTCTGCCCAATACTAGCAGAATATGAATTCTTTTCAAGTGCACATGAAACATTTACCAAGATAGATCATATTCTGAGTCATATAACAAACCTCAACAGATTTAAAAGAATTGAAATCTTGGGCCAGCCCCGTGGCTTAGTGGTTAAGTGTGCGTGCTCCGCTGCTGGCGGCCCAGGTTCAGATCCTGGGCGCGCACCGACGCGCTGCTTCTCCGGCCATGCTGAGGCCGCATCCCACATACAGCAATTAGAAGGCTGTGCAACTATGACATATAGCTATCTACTGGGGCTTTGGGGGAAAAAATAAATAAATAAATAAAAATTAAAAAAAAAATAAAAGAATTGAAATCTTATGAAGCATGTTGTCTAACTGCAACACAATTAAAATAGAAATCAATAACAGAAAGATATATCTTTCCAAATATTTGGAAATTAAACAACACATTTCTACATAACCCATGGTCAAAGAGGAAGGTACAAGAGAAACTAAGAAACATTTTGAATTGAATGAAAATGAAAATACAACATATTAAAATTTATTGAGTGGAGGTAAAGTGGTGCTTTGAGGGCAATTTATAACATTATTGATTATATTAGAAAAAAGAAAGGTCTCAAGTCAATATCTAAATTCCAACTTAAGTGGAAAGACAAGAGCAAAATAAACATAAAGCAAATATAAGACAGGAAATAATAAATATAATGGCATAAATCAATGAAATTGAAAACAGGAAAACAATAGAGAAAATCAATGAAACCGAAAGCTGGTTCTTTCAAACAAGAATAAAATTAGTCTCTAGTAAGAATAATCAAGAAAAAAGAGAGAGAAGATACAAATATCAATCTCAGGAAGGAGAGAGGTGATGTCATTCTGATTCTATAGCTATTAAAAGGTTAATTAAGAATAAGTAGGGAATATTATGAGGAACTTTATGTCCATAAATATAACAGATAAAATGCACAAAGTATCAAAGCTTACTCAAGAAGAAAGAGATAATCTGAATAGTCCTATATTTACTAAAGAAATTAAACTCTAAATTAAAAATCTTCCAACAGCATCAGCTTTGATTCATGAAAGCCTTTTGAAAATTAATTTGTAGCTCGACGATCAAATTTTTATACTTTCTCTTACATAAGAATTTTAATGTTTATCATAAGTCATTGAAATAAATTTGTTCCTTTTAATGATTAAAGTGTATAAATAGGCTAGAAAAAAATATCAATATTTTAGTGTCTGGCTAAATGTCTTCATCCTAGTAAAGAAAAGCCTAGTTATATTCAAATATTCATTTCACAATAGTAAGAAAGCTCAATACTATATGTTTAAGAAAAAAAAGACTTGTATGCAATATAAAATACTTCTGCCACATTCTTGTTTTATAATCTTAATCTAACAGAATGCTGCTTTTTAATGGCTACAAAGGAAAGAGTATCAGCTTAGTTTTATCAATGGATGATACGAGGTGTTTCATAAATGGCATTTCTAAGATCTAAGTTGTCTGAAATTCAAAGATGCTTTATAGAAAGAACATACATAACATTACTCAATCTTGAAACAACTCCATGAGGTAGGAATTCTCTTGATTTTACAGATGAGGAAATTGAATTATCTTGATTTAAAGAAAAAAATTGAGGCTTAGATAAATTAAATAACTTTACCAGGAGTATACAATTTAGTGGAGATAGAATTTGAATCTGGGTCTGGCTCTTAAACTCACCCACTCATCCATCCAGCCATCCATCTGCTCTGGCTTCAAATGTGGAGAAGACAAACACTAAACTGTTCTATTTTCCATTAACTCCTTTTGTGGCCTCAAAGAGTTAATGCTTCTTTCATATATGCCCTCCTCAATAGGAGAAAATTGTTGTGAAGGGATTTAGAACAGGCTGCCCCAACATGCCACTTTGGCATGTGGAATATTTTGGGCTGAAGGCAATCAAGAGCCTGTGGGCTCAAAGGAAACTTTTACCTCTCCCTTGAGGAATTTAAATTAAGGGCCTTGCTTATAAGGAGAGTAATTACCAGAAATAACATTTTTTTACCTATCTGTATGGTAGGGCAAACCTCTAATTAGTGAACATCTGCTTTTCTTATCGTTGGTGAATTACCCTCCTCCCCTCTGAAGCCTCAGGCTCCTATCCCATTCCTTAGCTCAAGATGGCATAAATACCTCACTTTACCTTCTGTCTCTGAACTTCTCATATATGTGGGGTTTCTGACACTCTCACGTATCTGGGGTTTCCATACGTACAAAATTAATTAAATTTGATTTTCTCCTATTAATCTGTCTCATGTCAATTTAATTATTAGAGCAGCCAGAAGAACGTAGAGGGTAGAGGAAAATTTCTTCCTCCTCTACAGAAGGGAAGACAGAAATAAAACATCGATAAATCATTTGGAAACTTCTGTTACCTCAGACACTGTTATTTAAACAAGAGAGAAGAGAACCAATAATATTGAAATCCAGAGGTATCCTACATATTCTCCAATACCTTTTACTGAGAAAAATGAACAAATATTCAAACTTTTGAAAGGAAAAATCACAGTGTACAACCATTGGTAGGTGACTGATCTAGTTTAACAAAAGACAGCAAATTTTAACCTATATAGCTTTCATAAGTTGTTCTCTGATAAATTTAGCTTAAATTGACTTAATTTTAGTAATATTATCACATTTCTCAGGTAGCATTTGTTTCCACAAATTTTTGCCTCAGTTTTGGCCAACGCCTTTCATTATGAATAGAAATTAGTTCATTTGGATGATTCTTGTACCAGCCATGAAAATCCTAGCAAAAAGGAATTTATTAGGATTTTGGTAATTCTTCCAAGAATTTTTGGCACAATGTAGAGTTAAAATTTACTACTTGATAATTATTGCTTTAGTGGGGAAGTTGTTAGTTTAATTTCTCTGAAGAATTACTGCGTCTTTGCAAGTGTTTAACGATGATGAAAAAGAGCCTTCTGATGTCAAACAACCTATTCTTCAATTAGGAGAGAAAAATACTCACGGTTGAGCCCCAATTTCTCGTAGGTGATAAAAGAGTTGGGGGAGATAAGTTTGAAGAAGAGTTTCAAACAGCAAACAGAGTGACACAATACCCTGGATACAATAATAAATCACAAGAGAAATACATATTTTAGTATTTAAAAATTAACTGTGCCAACAAATTATTCAAATAGAAATGAGACAAAGATTATCAACATAAATATTTTTTATATTGTTTAAGAGTCAAAAACAGGAAATGCACTAATGATCTCTAACGCTGTGTTTAAAGATAAATTTTATCCCTCTTTATGGATACCTACCCTCATAGATATGCTAACGAGCTTCCTTTTTTAATACAATAGGCCCCCCACATAACCTGGTATGTAATATTCAGGGAGTCCAAGGAAAACATCATTTTCTAGAAAACCTGCTACATTGGAAGCCACATATTATCACGTAGGCCCAGCAAAATTCGTTTTTTCTGGATGCATTCCAGTTTCCAGTATTTCTCTGGTGCTGTCACCACACCCTTTACTTTCTCCTCCATATGTCCCTTCCCTTTCAGCTGCCTCACCCATCAGGGAAAATATTTCCTGCTTTTTTCACTCTGTCTTTGAAAACCATCCCCAGGGAAAGACTGACTGCTGACGACTTGAAATTTGCCTTAGGAAGTTATCAAACAAGAATGTTTGTTTACTTAGTATAAAGATATATATATATTTTTTTTTACTAAAATCTACTTTTTTAAAAGGTCATTATTTGTAGAGCACAAGAAGTAACCGATTTAAGCAGATGGTTTTTCAAGTGTGTTTATTACTTAACAATTCTGAATAAAGTCTTTCTTGCAGCTCAGCATTCCTCAGGGTTGATCTTTGTAAGGAAGTTTTAATCCTCTTTTTGAGTTTCTAAAGAAAAAAGGCTGTCATGGTTCCAAATAGTTAGTCTGGCTGCAAGCCAGAAAAGGAGATGATGGCCTATGAGTCTTGATTCCATTGAATAAAGAAAGGACAGAGGCAGGCTGGCCCAATCAACCAATTGAAAAAAGACACCTCAGGGTCCACAGGGAGCTAGAGAAGGAAAATCCAGAGCTGTCAGGGTCAAGCTTCAGTGATCTGCACAGGGAAGACATCATGGGTGTATATTAGGCAACCAGTTAAAAAAAATATTTTTTAAACTCCGAAGCATACAACGGGACAGAATACGAGAGTAAGAAATCTGATGCTACGAATGAGGCCTTAGAAAAGAGAATTATTAATATATTTCTGATTATCCTAGATTAAACACTAATGTAAGAGAAGCACTACATTAAGTTGTCTCAGAGAGAAGAAACCCAAGGTAATTGGTGGTGCCTCATTTGTTCATCTGTGACATCCTGGAATTCTGTTATTTGCCAGTTTTCACTAGCAATATATGAGAGCAAAATTGGAGACACAAGAAGGCGGAATAGGAATACATAGGACTAAACTAGAAAGATAAAGAACAGCTATTTAGTTTAGTAGCAGTGACAGAGTCTGTTCTTTGGGGAAATTTGGTAGCCCTGACACATTCCAATTTAATGTTTCTTCTGGAGAGTCAGTCACGTTACCCACAAGTAGCCCAAAGCAGGCCCAAAGGCAGAAAAAGTATAACTGAAATAAAATAAACACTGCTTTTAATCAGGCTTATGGGGGAAAAAACAAAAGATATGATAAAGCCAAAATAACACAGATAAAAATGTTCAACTCCCAATATGCTTCTCCTTGACTTTCATACTGAGGCCAAAGGAGCTATCAATTGAATAAAAGAAAATACCTAGTATGATAACTGATAATTAGCCAAATAGGAAATTGAAAAATAATTGATAAATAAATGTTTGATTTTCATTAATAAAGAAGAGATGATGATAATGATAATCATAACAACAACAACAAGAATAGCAGCCATTTATTTACTGAACACCTGCCATGAGCCAAGTACCACTACCCAGGTGCTTCGCAGATCTCTCTGCAGCACTACAGAAACATCTTATCAACCTCATTTCATAGACAAGGAAATCAGCTTTCAAAGAAGGTAGCCCTCTTTGTTGAAGAGAATAATACAGACATTTCTATGTTTTTTCTTTTAACACATAAAAGATAATTTAAATGCAACTGATAAAGGACTTTTTCCACTCAAATTATTACCAAAAATATTTAAATATCAATTTCTTTCTCTCTCTCATTTATTCTACAGAAATATGTTGCTTGACATTACAAATTAAAATTTGTTGCTTGAGTAGGAGACTACTTACTAAGGAAAGAGAGAACAGATTAGAGCCTGATTTGATCCAATTTTTTACGAACTTACAGAAGGATGAGAAGAGATGGAATGGAGTCTGAAGAAAAAACGCACATACATCTCACGGAATATCTGATACAATTTGGAAGGTTCGTGGTATAGAAAACAAAGTGGTGCAACTGAAAGAATAAAAAGAATAATTTATAATATTGCAGAACTACTAAAATTTTAAAAACAAGTTTATGAAACACGAAAGAATAAATCAGTATTGTATAGTAATAATCATTCATAGACAAATTTAAAATCATATACATATTGTTTTTTCATGGTTAAAAGGGAATTATGCACATGTAAAAAATTCAGTCATTAAAAATTATAAAGAAAGAAGTAAATTATAAACTATTATAATCCCATCTTACCAGGAGAATAAGAACGACACAATGGAATTACATAGGGATATTAAGAATTCAAAGTAAATTTTAAAAACTACATGAAGTCAAGCCTCTTTTTTAAAAAATTGAAGTAGTAAGAAAGTGGTGATCAGGCAATTCATTTTTACTTTGTTCCACAAAGGATCCAGGCCACTTTTCAAAATTTTTAATTTTTGTAAGTAAACTATCAGATAATTTATGACTAGCTTTTAGAATCATAGGGTCTGCAGCTAACTTAATTTCCAAATAAAAATTCTGAATAACAATTTAGACTGTTGGTCCATATTGGCATATCAATATGTATCAAGACAGTTTTCACTGACAACTCAGGCAGAGGGATTTATTTCTCTAATAATTGTTGATTTAAGTTTTCTTTTGCACCCAGTTCTTGGCAATTGAGCACAGGTGGGTCAACTCAACCAGAGATCCCACAGCTGAACGTCAGAAAGTCCTGGTCTCAGATGCTGACCGGACAGTGTGATCATTCTGCACTGACAAACATCGTCATGCTTTTCATCTTTAAAGCCTCAAGAGTTTTAGGCAGCATAAACACATTCATAATGCAGAGACATAAAACTGCATTACCTAAGTATTAATTTTAATGAAAATGACTTATTGGGTAATTTTAACTACAATATAAATTGGACAGGTTAAGAAGTTCTCAGGCTCTATAATCCATCAGTAATGCCCTGAGGGCAGTAGGCATTAAGTAAGCTGGGAAACTAATGAGACAACTCAAGCTCACTTTTTGACAAAGGAAAAATGAGAGAAAATTTTAAACTCTTACAAAAATTCAATTATCTGAGATAAATGGTGGTGCATGGCATTACTGATGAATAAATCATCAAAAACTAGCATTGCAAGTGAGAAATTTCACTTTTTCTGAAGGGCAAAAGAGAGACAAATCAATTTTAGAGGGGTACGTATCTAAATATACACAAAAAATTACTTTTATATGTAGAGAAAAATGTATATTATATATATGTTTAAAAACTGACAGGCATGCCCTTCCACTTCAAAACTAATTTTAAAAACTTATTTTCCTATCAAAATAAATTACTACTTATTAAAATAGCCCAAATTAAGGTATTCTATATATTTAAAAAGATTAACTCATGTTCTAATCGCAACAACCTAATAAAAAGCAATGTGGCACAAATTATGGTATTATTATAGATTCAAAGTGAAGGTTTGGAATTTATTTACTTTTTTTAATGATGTATATTTTTTCTTCTAATTTTTTAAGTTATTGATATGTAAAAACCTATGATCTGAATCTAAAGATTTTATGGGTTCAGTAATCATTAATGACCATTTCCAGTGAATGAATAAAAAGGAGAATTTTAAAATCAGCACTTTTCTACAAACATACATCATACAAAAAACTTTATAATCATTCATTATTCAAGATAGCACAACTGTTTATGTTGAGTTCTCTTATATAGCTATGAAATGGAAATCCTTTAGTCCATTATATATAATATGTAAAAAAATATCCTACATGACTTTTTTTTCTACTTTAAGCATCTTTGCCTATTTGGCTTTTTCATAAAAATGAATTCGCTCATTATCTTTTTAACTATACTATAGAAATTTATTTACGAAATCATAATATACCACACCTACAATAAAATTTCATTAATCTGCATAAGTGGGAGGGACAGGCTAGTTTAAATTAGAGAAACGTTTTGAACTGATTTTTAAAAGAGGTAAGTATTATAATTTTAAAGAAATAAAGTAACTAAAACTGAAATGGCAAAGTACTAACTAGAGTTCCTCGGGGATGATTTATGATTATTCTAGTACACTGGTTCTAAATAAGTGGTTGCTGCTGAAGTATTTGTGGATGCTTATCATATTTTTCTAAGATAGTATAATAAACTCTATATCAAACATTTTGCATCATCTACTTCCTCAGTGAACATTTTCCCCTTGGGTGTATAAACCTTAGCCTATTTAAACAACCAGAAATGTGAACAGGCAGGAGTCAATGATGTATTTTGTACCCTGAGATTTGTTAAAATATTTAAACTTGCATGACATCAATTGTCCTCCAAATCACTCACTTCACCTTTTAAAAACTGTTTACTTGAAAAATTCTTGCAGTTGGAATACTAAAATAGAAGGATAAAAGGGCTAACATTTTTATTATTAGAGGTAAAAATTTATATTCTTTTATATATATATCTTTATAACTTTTTTAGGTTTTCCATTTTAAATTCCTCACATATTTATAAAAGAGAAATATGCTGGAAGGTTACTATAACAGTATGTATCACGTTACGAAATTTTGGTTGCTCAAGAGAATAAAGCAGAGTGCCTGATCATTCAAGCCCGTGACCAACACCATCAAGGGCAGCCTAGCGCAAAGTTCCTAGGTACTTTGAATCCTTTTCATTGTATGCTAGTTTTAAAAGTTTTTTATTATGTCATTCATCATGACTGTCTGATGTTGAACACTGAGGGGATTTTTACAAAGAAAAGTGTTAATTTATTGCTAATTTGTTTTACTTTATTTAAAGTAAAACATTAAAGTATTTCTGTTTAGTCTAAAGGTGGGGGGGGTAGGTAGCAATATTGGGGACAACAAACTTCAACAAGTTCATATGTTATGTGTGAAAATTTAAAAATTAAGTGGCATTAAGGTGTAGAGCATTATTCCTCTTGCTAATCTTCATTAAGCTTCTTGCAGTTCCTCATTCAATGACACATGAGGCCAGAAAGGCACTCAGGGCTCTCAAGCCTGCACATGCATTTTTCACATGTACCTCAGCATGACTGAACGCTTCAATGTAATTGTTGCTGTGCATACCAGTAGTCCAGAGAAATCATAAACTCAAACTTGTGTTGTCCCTCCCTTTGCATTCTTTCTGACATATTATTTTTTAAAACGATTTATGAGAGGGGGCCGGCCCGGTGGCATAGCAGTTGGGTTCGCACACTCTGCTTTAGCAGCCCTGGGTTCGTGGGTTCCCAGGTGCGGACCTATGCACCGCTTGTCAAGCCATGCTGTGGCGGCATCCCACATATAAAGTGGAGGAAGATGGGCACGGTTGTTAGCCCAGGGCCAATCTTCCTCAGGAAAAAGAGGAGGATTGGCAACGGAGGTTAGCTCAGGGCTAATCTTCCTCACCAAAGAAAAAAAAATTTATGAGACTTAGTTCAAGAACTTAAGCAATCTCATTTTATACCTATTAGAAGTAAATATTAACATATATCTCTAGTTTTCATTGGATTAGAAAATGGTAAACCACAGAACCACTTTCACAGTACGTTCTAATTCTAATTTGTCAAGCAATTATCATTTGAGCAATTATGATGACCCTTTATTTAAACATTATTTTAATTGGACATATAAACAAATATTAAACTCAACATCTAAAAATGTTCACAATAACTTGTTAAGTGTGTGCGTCATGTGATATAAAGTGTGATCTTCATGTTTAATTTTCTAAAGTGTAATAAAAACAGAATATTTTAAAGCCCAACTTACCATACATTGAAAATCCGTGAAAAGGGATTACACCTAGAAAAATAAAAAATTATTTCTTTTCAATTAGTATACCTACTGAATTATTAGGTAAACTTTAGAGGATTAAAACCAAAAAATAGAAAAGTTTCCTATTTTTGCTTCAACTTTGTTCATGAATGTCAGAAGGACTTAGTGATGGTAACCACCAAAAAGATATGCTTTTTAATACCTTTAGAAAAGCAAACAAGAGATTTTCAATATATGTCTAGTTAACTTTTTATTGATAATAAGGTTGAATAATTAAAACTTCGATTATATGTTACAAAAACAGGACAAATACAGAACAAGAGAGTCACAGAACTAAGTTTAAGAACTAATTACAATGGTCTCAGAAAGCCAATAGATTATGTCCTTCCTGAAACAACTTCATCCTGTATATTAGAATCCAATATGTTAACAGATAAGTGGGCATTTCAAGGCACCTCTAGCATAGATGGATTCCTTTATAAACTTACCAAAAATTATATCATAGGATCTTGTTTAGAAAAATTATTGGCAGGAATATGGTATATAAATTCAGCATAATCTTTGGCAAGAATTATACACAAGTAAAATAGACATCCATTTCAAAGAAATATTCAAAGCCTAAATAGGTGTGCTAAACATCTTGTCACATTCTAAGTGAAAAATCAGAATTTGTACAGCTTAGGTTCAAAACAGAAGTTCTGTAATATACACACCACCATATATCTAACACTGTACTAAATCAGGTTGCAAACACAGTACAGAAGAAAGTTGAGAAGTTTACTTTTTTGAAAAATAGTATAAAAATGCTTTATTCATCTGACATGTTCAGAGGCAAAACCTCTTAGTGTTGGTAGGGACTTTAGAGGTCACCTAGAGTAAGTTCTAATAAATGATGCAATAGGGGACACATTAATTCTCAATGCCACCAATTACAATTTTGAACAAGTTTAATTTGGGGGAAGTTAATTCTCATACTGAGTCAAACTCTAGCTCCCTATAATCCTCACTTATTATTCCTAGTTCAGACCACAAAAGTCACATAAAACAAGTCTCACTTATCTTCTATGAAAACTGTCAGAAATATTTGAAGACATTCTTTTCTTCCCCACCCCCATCACCACCAGGTTTTTTTTCTCTAAGACTCGATGAGTTTCTTTAATGGTTCCTCAGATGAAGTGGTCCTGAATAGCTTCCCTATTTTATTTTCCTCTGGACAAGCTGTAGTTCACCACAGTTCTTAAGGTGAGGTGACTAAAACCTTTAAGCATTTTTGCTCCCTACACACTCCACAGCTAAGACACAGTGCACTTGTGCAGTTGTTTCTGACCTAAGTAAAGGATTGTATTCTCGTCTCTGTTACAATTCTTCTTTGGCGAACTGTTCCAAATTGAGATAATCCTATATTCTTATTCTGTTATCTAATGTATTCCCTATTCTTCCTGGTTCCACATTACTGGAAAATTTGGTAAGTACACTATCTACGTCCTCCTCTAAAGCATTATAAAAATGCTGAACAAGACAGACTGAGGCCAGGACTTGTCATTAGAGACCTCCTTCCATACTGATAGCAATTCCTTAATCAGCACCCTATTGTGGTAAGTTAAGAACACAGACTGGGTGTCAGACAGACTTGATTGAGTTTATCTAGTTCTGTCACTTAAGAACTTTGTGTGCCTTTAGGTCAGTTTCGTAACTTCGCTAAGCTTCAGTTTCCTCATCTGTAAATCAGAGATAATGCTAGAACCTACATAATATAATTAAATGAGATCATGGCTGTAGCTTAGCCATTAATAAATAGCTTAGGCCCTTAATAAAAGTTAATTATTGATGTTATCATTCACAAATTAGCTCATCTTTCTTTGTTGTTTCCAGAAGTAATTTTATCAAAAAGGAGTATGAGGAAAATCCAATATTATCCTGAACTAGTATGACAGGCCAACCATCTTTAGAATTTTGTGCAGCATCACTTTTAAGCTTCACAAGCTATAATTCTCAGGATTTACCTTTTCTCATTTTTCCCTAGTCTTCTAGAACACACCATAGATTCATGTTGTCCAACTTTGACTGAATCCTGTGTTCCTTATCAATTTGCTTTTTCAATTCTATTTCATTATCACCCTGTTCTTACAAAACTTTCTGACTCTTCAAGTGTTTAACACTCAATTATAGAACTCACTTCCCTCCTCACTAGGAGGCTGATGCCACTGACACGAACTCTCTCACTTGTCTGTTCTTTACCTCAAATGTTCTTCTCATTTCTCTTTAGGGTGGTCTTCAGAGGAAGATGTTTCCTTTTTCTTTTTCAGAGCTAACATCTTCACCTGTGCTCTTAATCTTGTTTCTTTGACCTTCTTTTACAGCAGCTGACAAGCTATGGTCAGGTCTATAGCTTGTTTTTGTGCAGCTTGTGATCTAAGAATAGCTTTTACATTTTTAAAGGATTATTTAAGAAAACAACAAAGAAGAATATGTGACAGAGATTGTTTGTGGCCAGCAAAATTTAAACTATTTACCCTCTGGTCCTTTATAGAAAAAGTTTCCCAACCTCTGCTTTGGAGTCCTGCCCCATCAATTCTCTCCTCCTCCCCCTTCATGTGCATCATTCAATAAATATGTATTGAGCCTCTACCACGTGCCAGACACTGTTCTAAGAACTGGAGCTTACTTTTCATTAAGGACAGAAAAGTCATGATAAAATAAGTGAATATATGTCAATTAGCAATAAGTGCTATGAAGACAAATAATGGAGGGAAAAGGGATAGAGAGGACAAGGCCTCAGGAGGGGGGAAGGCCTTACTGATAAAAGAGCCACTGAAGCCATGGAGGCGAGGGCCACTGGATCAGGGGTGACATGGAAGCCCTGGCCTTTGTCTGGTGATTGCCATAAACAGGGATAAGTTTACTGAGGTTAGTTGATCTTAAGGTGGATAGTGGTGGCATCTGCTCTTCACTCCTACTAAGGGAGAAGCAGAGGCAAGGAGTGTGTAGGGTCTATCAAGGTACTCCTATCTTTAGTCTCTCCTACTTCACTGTAACCTTTTAGCCAAGGATATTATAAATGAGAATAAGAAGAAGAAGACGATGATGAAGACAGCAAAGAAGATGAAGATGACGATAAAGATGAAGAAGATGATGAAGATGAAAAAGAAGACGACGACGAAGACGAGGAAGGCGACGACAATGAAGACGAAGAAGACAAAGACGAAGAAGATGAGGAAGAAGAACAAGAAGATAATGAAGAAGATGAAGACAAAGACAATGAAGAAGAAGAAGACAAAGAAGAAGGAAGAAGGAGAGAGGAGGAGGAGACAGGAGGAAGAGAGTAGGGGAGGAGAGAGCAGGAGCAGAAGGAAAAGGAGGAGGAGGAGAAGAAAAGGAGGAGGAGGAGAAGAAAAGGAGAAGGAGGAGGAGAAGTCCATTTTCTTCCCTGAACCTTACTTTCCCATCAAACAAACCTCTAATCTCTCTCCTTCTCTTGAAGACAAGCTTAATTCTTCGAAAACCATCTAAATTAACTTCCTTTACTTCCTCATTATATATCCTCAGCTCCTTGTAAACTGGATTCCATTCCTATGACTTCAACTTCTCTGATTTCTAAATCCAGGGGTCTCCTCTCTGTATGTGTCCTGGCCCCAAGCAACTGAAAGTCTTCTCAAACTTGAGCCTGCTAGGCACTGATGACACTATGTGGATCAGGCTCCTTGCCTCTCAGAAACTTCTGCTGCTCAGTTTTTTGTTTTGTTGTGTTTTTGGCTAGTTCTCTCCTCTGCCCACTCCTGAAATATAGCTACTTTCCAAGATTTGGTCATACTTATTTTCTCTCTTTTTCTACCAGTATGCTCTTTATTAACCCGTAAATCAAACAGTAAAAGCCCAGTACCCTGCGCCTCCTTCTGGACTCTCTTTTTCTGCAAATGACTCCTCATTGCCTTAGTCTTCAGGGAAGAAGGCTTTCAGTCATCTTTGCTTTCTAGTTATTCCTCAGCCCTTATTCCTAAATGCGATTGTATTCCTTTCCTATCCCTTTAGGATAAACGGTACTTAACTCTTCATGATTTGGCCAAAATCTAATGTCACCAGCTTCATTTCTCTTCTCTGTCTCACAAGCACAACTCTAATCCGGACAAACTGATTGCTACTTCTTCAGCCTCTAGGGCTTAGGACAAGGGCTGTACGCAATGCTTCTCTTATCACACTGTATTGGAATCATTTTTTGTTTTCTCTTTTCCAATAGAATAAATCTCTTGAGTATAGAAACTATTCCTTATTTATCTCTATCCCCAAAGGCAAGCACAGTGCCCAGAATATAATAGGTACCCATTAAATGTTTGTGGAATGACTATACAAAGCCCTAGAGAATCTACGTCTACCATTTTCAACCATTCATTTTCTTCCGACTGCCAGGGTCTGAATTCAGGCTCTGATGAACTCTCACCTATGGCCCTGCAAAAGCCTTCCAATTGGTAACCGTTCCCCCAAACTGTCAGCCCTCCAACCAACTTTTGTAATGGTTCAGGATATCTTTTAAAAATGTTGATGAGACCATGAAAAAGACCTCTATATCTATCGAAGGTTTTCCACCGACCATTCACCCATCCACCAAATATTTATTTGTTGAGCTCCTATTCATCCAATTAACCAGTATTTAAACGCCTACTCTGTAGCCTTTGGAGATATTAAAATGAATATGACATTTTCCCCATATTTATGGAATTCACATTCTAGCCTTGCAATATAGCCTAAGTGTCTACAGAGTGAAACTCAAAACCTTTGGACTGGTCTCAACCATTCACGATGGCAATCTGAGGGATATCTGTCTCCCCCTTGTCACACTATCCTGACTCTGTACCAACTGTGGTACAGCCATACTAAATTACTTACCATCACCAGAACTCATACGCACTTTCAATGCTTTGGCACCTTTGAACTTGATAATTTTGTATCCTGAAATGCTTTTTTGTTTTCTACTCAGCCTATCAAAACCTTACTAAGGTCAGGTATAACCTTAGAGAAACATATCCTGATCT